AAAAAAAAAAGGAAAAAAAAAAAAAGAAGCAATGAGAAAAATTGTTTGTTGTAAACTCCAAATTCATAGTGTAACCTTACTTTTTATTTTGGTTTAATTGCTTGTTCGTAACTATTGGATATATAAAATGATTTTGGAAAAATTGACCCTTTATCATTTAAATTATATATATAAGGTAATTTTTTAATCCAAAATAGGTAGTTAATTTTATTTTTTTAAACTCAAACCAGTGTTTAAACTGGCATATCGACCCAAGTCGATTTGGTTTGGTTTAGTTCGATTTCAACAGTTGGATTGGGACGGTTTGGTTTGAAATTTCTTCAAACCAACCCAATCGATTTTGTTTTCGGGTTTGACTTAAAATCAACCTAATCCAAACCTGCCTAGGCCTAGATAAGACAAATACAATACTCATCCCGATATATGTAAGACTGCAGATGATGTGGGAGGTGTGTTTCCCAATTACTCTTTATTCTCCCATGCTTCAGGTTCGACTCTCCATGTAATTGAAGCGATTTCATGTGGATTAAAATTCATCAAACAACTAATTTCATTACTTTAGGTTCTCAAAGTTACGATTGTTGTACATTGGTAGTTTGATCATCAGTTCTCATGTCATCGGGTTATCAAACTTTATTGATCTTTTGCCACATGCTACTAAAAAATAGTTTTTCACCAATGGATAATTACCAACGTATCCATTGGTAATCAGAAACGAATTATCTGTTTGTAAAAGTAAGTGACTTTCAACTATAGTAATCAACAACGAAATTTTGTTGTTAAAAGTGATAGTTTTTTATCAACGGATATTCAGTAAGTAATGTAAATCAATTTTTTAAAAAAAAAAAATGTTTCAACCTCTTCACCAATGGAAACTCCTTACGTAAAAGTAATTTATATTACTTACAAAAATTTCGTTGTTGTTATTAATCAATTATATGCAATTTAACTTTAGTTGTACAAATAGGGAAGTGGAGGACCAAATTGAAAAACAAGAGCAAACATGTATATATTCCATTGTAATTTATTTTCAAATATATTTACCAAATTCACTTTCCGTAAAATTCTACAAATCACGGTTTCACAAAACTATTCTCCCACCAAAACCTTATCTCTCACAATCTCACAAATCTTCAATTGACGCTGCACTTTTCGATTCTCTCTCATGAATTTGATTATCTCGAGAACCAAGAAAAGGTTTGTATCTTAGGCTCTGTTTGATGAGCTCCATTTTCCTTTCCAAGGAAAATGGAATATATTTTCCATTTCCACACAAAAATGATTGTTTGATTGTCATAATTTAACTTGGAATCCATTTTCTCAGCCGCCATTCACACGCCTTATTTTCCTTCAAATTGGTGAATTTGTTTTCCCATTGGTTATGTGGTTTTTTGTTTTCCAGCTTCCTTTTTAAAAAAAAAAAAATTATAGATACAATGGTAAAAAAATGTATCCATTTTATTGACAATTTTCATGCAAAACAAAGCTAAATGAATGATATTCGGGATGATAATTTTTTTATTTTTTTTATTTTTTAACTTTTTGCAATTCTAACAAATTTTAGACCCAATTGTATAAAAAATTATCATTTTAATAGACAATTTTCATGAAAAACTAAATCAAACAGATACCAAACTTTCAACATTTTTCAAGTGAAAAATTATAACAATCAAACACAATTAATTACAATTCCCAATAAAACAATTTTTAGGCAAATCAATTCCCTATAAAACATTTTTTTTCCACTCATTTTCCACTTTCGCAATCAAACAAACCCTTATATTGAAATCATAGATTACAACTCTCTATGGATGTCTCAAGAACCAATTGTTACTGCCATGGATGCCGTGTATGCTGTCAAGAAGCAAGGCCACACTCTGTTGTTTGGTGATTAGAGATTAGGATCTGGGTTTTTTAAACTGATGCATTTATATTTTGGACCAATCTTATTATTCTTCGAGTTTTATATTATTCCAAATATTTTCTTCCATAGCAAGATGAGTACACTTTTTATTGTTCTTGGTCTAATTCTTGTTCTTCGATACTTGTATGTGACGAAAAGGTGAATGAATTGAAGTCAAAGCTAGTTATGCACAAAATGCAATAGAAGAGGACAATGAAATAAGTCTTGAACAATAAATGTTTTACACTTTTTCCCATAAAAATGATGTCGCCATATTTTTAAGCTTATAGATAAAGGCAGCAAACTCAAAATCATGCATATCATAATTTTTCAAACAATGTTTCAGTTGTTCGTGACGCATATGCTATCACATCTCCTTGTAGGATGAGAGCACCACAATATCCATTCTTAGATGCCTCAATCTAGATGGAAAACCCTTTGTATTATTTGGGACGGTTAAAATTGGTGTTATTGTCAATCATGTTTCTACCTCTTGAAAACTTTTCTCTTAATCTTTGGGTCGTTTGAAATATGCATTCTTCTAGATATAATTTTTTATAATTCTTTATACCTTTTCCCCCTAAATATTGTGTCCATTAACCTGAAAAAATATCTCTTCAATAAAAAATTCTTCAAATACAAAAATTACAGATAAATAAAATAAATATATTACTTATATTTGGTGCTTCTATAAGTATGTGCATGTGATTTGCTGTCACCCCCACCTACAACTAGGGGTGGGCAATGGGTCGGGTCGGGGCTTGGCCCAAAATCGACCCGATCAAGAATACTCAATTTTGGTCTTTTTCATGACCTGAACCCACCCGACCCGATTCCTACCCCTAAATCGACCCAACCCTAATCGAGTCGGGTCCGACTGGGCCAAATTTTTTTTTTTAAGTCACTAAATTTATTTGAGACTTTTCAAGTTTTTTTTAAAGCACTAAATTTATTGGAGACTTCTCAATCCATTAATTGGCTTAAATATAAATAATATTTTTGCCATCTCAATAAAAAATTTTCAATGAAATAATATTTGTCATTCATACAAAACCATCGACTAAAATTGAATAAATCATAATTTTTTACTAAAAATAGGTCTATAATTTGAATTTCTTCACAAACAAAAAATTAAAGCTTACATCTCAAATAATTATTTGCATGCACGTTAATATCATACTACTAAAACTGAACATATTAAAAATTATCATTAAGCACGAGAAATAAATACTAAAATATTACAGTCAACCAACTCTTAAAAATATACAGTAATCCAAATTTAATAAATAAACAAAAAGAAAAATATTACTTATCCAAAATTCAAACTTCTAAAAAATTAAATAATAAAATAGAGCATTATAATCTTCAATTCTCGCATAGCCCTAAGTAGCATTCCTACAAAATAATATAAACGTTTAAAGAAAAAGATTAACAGTATAATGACAAAGTCAGTTGTGCACATTGAATACATTGTACATCTACCTGAAAAAATTATAAATGCACGAATCACTTGGATTTAGCCTTCATTTGATTTATCTATTTCTAAAAGCTCTACAAAAAAAATGATTAAATTAATAATAAATTAAATAAAACACATTTATTTAATATAATCCATGGAATAATTATAATTATATTACCTTTGTCCAATTTTTTATATACCTCAACATCTTCCATATAAAATCTCTCCATTATTGAAAACTCTTTTAGCCAATTTTGGGTACACACCAAAACCTTCACCATCTTAGGGGTTAAAGAACTACGAAATGGATCAAGGATTCTTCCTCCAGTACTAAAAGCACTTTCTGAAGCCACTTGAATTGCCATAACATCTTTTGCGAGTTTGGACAAAGTACCGTATTTATTTCCATTAACCCACCACCAGTTAAGAACATCAAAATCACTATCCTCTATATCTTCACAAGCGTCCAACAAGTATCTATCAACATCATTTTTAAGTTCAACCGCTGCATTTTTTCTCTTAAACCTAGAAACACGATTAAGAGAGACCGTTGAAGTAGGACTTTCTTTAGTAGAAGAAACCACACTTGAAGAATTCATATCACTAGATACTTGATTGCTCTTAGAACTTGCTTCACATCTCACATACCAATCGTAAATAGACATCATATTGTCTTTCAAAATATTTGTCATATTATGAGCAACTTCCTTATCCTCATAAATATCACCAAAACAAAAATCAGCATACTCCAATTTATATCTTTGGTCAAGTACAGTAGCAATCAACAACAACTGGTTAACATTTTCATTTTTTCCCAATACTTGTCAATTTTTTTCTTCATGTTAATGGTCATATCACTCAAAAGATAATCACCACTTTTACTCCATT